GTGAGCTAGGATGACGCCACGGCACTCACTCTAGCCAGGGCAACAATGTGAGACTCTGTCTCAAAAAAAAAAAAAAAAAAACCCAAAACTACAATGAGCTACCACTACACACCTATCAGAACAGCCCAAATCCGAAACACTGACAAACTGACAACACCAAATGCTGGCGAGGATGTGGAACAACAGGAAGATTCATTTGTTGCTGGTATGAATGCAAAATGCTACAGCCACTGTGGAAGACAGTTTGGCAGTTTCTTATGAAATGAAATATGCTCTTACCATATGATCCAGCAATTGCATTCCCTAGCATGTACCCAAAGAAGTTAAAACTTACGTCCACGTACTGTTTATAGCAGCTTTATTCATAATTGCCCCACCTTGGGGAAAGATGTCCTTCAGTAGGTGAGTGAATAAATAAACACGGACATGTAGACAGTGGAATATTATTCAGAGCTAAAAAGAAATGAGCTATCGAGTCATGAAAAGACACGGAGAAAACTTAAGTACATATTACTAAGTGAAAGAAGCCAATCTGAAAAGGCTACATATTGTATGATTCCAACTATATGATATTCTAGAAAAGGCAAAACTCTGGAGTTAGTAAAAGATCAGTGGTTGCCAGAGGTTGAGGGAAAGGGGGAGATGAAGAGACAGAGCACAGAGGACTTTTAGGGCATCGGAACTGCTCTGAATGATACTCTAACGGTAGATACATGTCGTTAGATATTTGTCTAAACCCATGGAATGGACAACACCAAGAGTGAACGCTCAAGTAGGCTGTGGGCTTCGGGGGACGATGTGTAGGTCCATGATAGTAACGAATGTACAACTCTGCTGCTAGATGTTGACAGCGGCGGAGGCTGGAGGCTCAATTTTGCTGTGAGCCTAAAACTGCTTTAAAAAATAAAATCTATTAAAAAAAAGCAAACCAAAAAAACTCTGAATATTTCAGAAATATACACCAAGGGATTAAGAACTCTGCCCTTTGGTGTTAATATTGGTACAAGGGTGTAAGTGGTCCCACGTGGACAGGCAGTAAGACACCATGGAGAGTAGGCAGCCTCCCGCTCACCCACTCTGCGGAAAGAGCCCCTCCTTGTCTGGGAGAGGACAGTGGAGACCGTAACAATGAAAGCACATTATGTTAGACAGGACGTGGGTCTGGACATGGAGACACTCCAGTCCCCTCTAGTAACACAGAGAACAATGACAGAGCCCCGAGCGTGCAGCAAGCAGGGCTGGGGTGTGTGTGGAGGTTTCAGCGCCACCGACGGAAGAAAGGCAGAGGACAGGTTTCAGGGGCAAAACTGATCTCCAGAGATAAGAAGACATTTAAGGGCAGATGACAGGGACTTCCAAGTCAAAAGGGAAGAAAAATGTTACCACTCCACAAGACCGTCTGGAGAAACTTACGACCTTTTCTTGTTTTGAGTCCCAGACTCCTTTTTCATGAAGTAAATTGATCCTCTTAGATAGGGAACAGATACGAATCACTAAACTTTGCCTACAATTTCATGAGGCCTGTGGAATCCTAAGACCCATCCATAATCCCCTGGCCTGGGGAATGAATGAGATGAAAATAATCATTAATAAATAATAATAATAATAATAGTAGCAGAAACCATTCAAGCGTCAAGTACTCTAAAGTTTACAAAAATAACTTTACTTATATTATTGAATTTAATCTTTCTCATAAGTAAACTGTCAATTCCCATTCTACAGGTGAGAAAACTAAGGCTCAAAAGAGCCAGGGGAGGGAGTGACTTGCAAATGGGCAGAAGGTTTCTTTTTGGGGCCACACCATGTGTTCTAAAATTAGACTGCGGCGATGGTTGCACAACTTTGTAAATTTACTGAAAATTTACTTACTTGTACACTTAAAGTAAATAAATGTTATGGTATGTAAAGGATACGTCAACAAAGCTGTTAAAAATAAACAGCCGTGAAAAAGGGCCAAGGCTCGGGTGAGCTCGCGCGGCTTGCAAGCGGCAGAGCAGAACTCAGACTTTCTCTCTCCAAGGTGTGCAGCAGAGTCAGCTTGTAAAGGGGACTCCTGAGACAGAAATTGTCGCAAGCACACTTGATGTTAAACCGTGTCCCCTGTTGCTTGAGTGAGGTGCGCTTTCGTGCAAGTGTAAGAGCACCAAAGACATCGCCACCCCATATGACCCCGAGTCAGGACCACTGCCAGCCCCTCTTACCACGATGCCCGCGTTCTTCATGGCCAGGGGCAGCCCCAGAAGCCCGGTGCCGATGTTGCCTTTCACTACGTGGATCAGGGTTTGCAGCCACCTGAGGCGGGGGAGAAGGGAGGCATGAGCTAGGTCACTGCTGACCTAGGCCCCAGAGCCAACCGCTTGGGGAAGAGCTGGCAGGAAGCGTGCCTGCAAGTGCCTGGAGTAGGATGCTGTGTACGTGTGCGGGGACCGATGGGTGGATGAACGGATGGATGGATGGATGGACGGATGGATGGATGGATGGGGTAAATGACCAAGGAAAAACAAAACCCAACGTGCCCTGAGTCTATATTTACAAAAAAGGCATCTAGAAGGAGGGAGTGGATGGCTTCACTCTGCTCTGTAGAACACAGGCCATACTTGGACTATTGGGCTTGGTTATTTTTTAAAAGAAATAGTTCATCAAAAAAAGTAGTATATGTATGGTAAAAATATAAATATTACAACAGTTTATAGAATGAAAAGTAAATCTTCCCATCTATGATTCCTGGACTCCAAATGCCCCTTTCTAGAAGCAACCACTGTTAAGAGTTTCTCATGTATCCTTCCAGACGTTCTCTGTCTCTCAATACATACTGATATCGATGTGCATGTACGTATATATGTGTATATAAGTATATACACACTTTTACAGTGTTAAACTTACTTCTACATTAATTTTTTTAAAGAGGGAGATTGTGCATATCAGTGCATAATAGATGTGGCCCATTCTTCAATCTGTTTAACAACTGCATAGTGTTTTGTTGGCTGTATCATGGCTTATTTACCCAGCTCTCTCTATTGGTGAGTAGTGTGGTTTTTTCTCAATCTTTTGCCACTCCAAATCAGCTGAAATGAATAATTGGACACATCTGATTTCATACGTATATGAGAGCTTCTCTGTTGGGTACACTCTCAGAAGTGGAAGTAGTGGATCAAGGGTGTGTGATTTAAAATTTTGGTGGACGTTGGCAAATGACTCCCCAAGGAGCTGTACCCATTTGCTTCCCACCAGCAGAGGATGAGAGGGACTATTTGCACCTGTCCTGGCAACCATGACGTATCACACTTTTTGTCCTGGGCCGACCTGTGAAGAGTTGCAGCACTTTGTGGGGTTTGCTTGCATTCCGGGGCTTGGTTCCTAATTCCTCACTTTATTAGGATCTTGTCAGACCGAAACCTGTCCAGCGGTGAGAGCTAAGTGGCCAAGGCCCGGGAAACTGTGTCTCAGGAGTAGAGCTTGAAAGGACTTAGTGGAAACTAGGATGGCCATACTCACACCCTGCCCCTCTCGGAAGGACTGTCATGGGGATGAGGGAGGAGACAGTGCCATGCGTCCAAGCGTGGAGAAAAAGGCCAGCTGGCAGATGGCACAGTGCGGCAACTTTCATGCTACTCTAAGAAGCACTCAGATCTCTCCAGCATCGGGTGAGCTCCCCGCCACCAGGGGTGTTCAAACAGCGACAGAGGTAGGCAGGACAGGGTTGACGACAGTCAGGATCTGTTCCCACAGCCTTTTGGTGCGCCTTCCTCAACTCCTCCCTCAACGGTGGGAAAGCAAACAGTTACTAGATTCTTTGAAGCTACAGCTCTGGATAGAAAATACGAAGGTCAAAATGGGGTGGAAGCCATCTCCCTGCTGCGTTGGCTGTTTCCTGCTGCCAGGAGAGGTTTCGTAGAGTGACCCAGGCTCCAGCTTCCGGGGTGTCCAGAGGCAGCTGCTGCAGCAGCAGTGGCACATGCCGATCCCCGGGATCCCTGGGACACCGCCGCAGGCAGCCTTACGTTGCTGACTTCGGTCCTCTGGGGCCTCCTGCTTCCGCCTTCTGGACTGTGCAGGAGGTGGAGTCCCCCCTGGCGGGCCACTTCGGAGATGTGTTTCTGGGAAGTCCAGCCTAGAGCCCCCCTCCAAGCTTTTTGATGGCTATGTAAGCCCCTACTTCCCATGGTTAAATATATTTCCAGCATTTTTTTGCTTAAAATACTATGTTTCTTACTCTAAACCCTGACTAATAGGAGGTGAGGGTGTACAGGACAAGATGACCTCCGAGGGGTCGTCCTGCTTGCAGTTTCTGACCTCACAATATTGTCCCACAGCAGGAAAAGCAGTCTTCAAAAACCATGTGTTTTCACTGAGGGAGCTGAGGTAATCCTGGCAGGAGTGAGGGGGGCCCAGCTCCCGGCTCGCTCCTGGCTGGCTTTCAAACCCTGCCTGGCCGAGCAGAAGTGAGTGTGATGTGTCGCAGTGGCTCTTTCAGATCCATTGTTCTTTCTTCGAGAAAGAACACCTGGTTCTTTGTAAACACAATAAAAGTACCCGGTTTTTGCAGACTGCTTTTTCTGCTGTGGGACTATAACAATGGATGTTATTCTCACCATTTTACCTATGCTTTTTAAAAGTTCTGGCTCAGAGATGGCGAGAGCTTGCCCAAGGTCACAGTTAATATAGGAGTAGCAAAGCTGGGATCGGAATCCGAGTGGGTTTTTCTGTGGTCTAAGCCACATGTTTTCCTGTAACTCCAGAGGCAGCCTTCTCTCTCCTCCTTTAAAATGCCTGACTTTTTCCTACTGCAGCCAACGACTGAACACTTACTAGAAACAAACCTCAAGCAGGCTGGCCTCTAAAACCTTCAAGGACAGTTGACAGTTTGTCTTTTAAAAGACCTTTGGCAATGACATAGCCTTCTTTAGAAACCCTTTCTAAGATTCAACGGTACATAGTCTCAAAAAAATTTTCCCTTATGTGTAATTTAAGAAGATGATAAAGAGGGTCCCTCTTTTGTTCATTCATTCATTTTGCAACACTTTACTGAGCCCCGTGTGCTCAGGCCCTGTGTTAGGCTTGGGAGGGTACACAGGTAAATAAGGCCTGGTCATCACCCTCAGGTTGCTCACCTTGTGGGCGGCTAGTGTGACCCATGCTAGAATTAACTAGTCTTTTAGTAAACTGCTACCATGTGGCAGGCACTGTCTGAGATGGATACTATCATCATTGTCATTCTGCTGGCGGAGGCTTGATCTGTCTTCTTCAGCAGAGTCGGACAATGCTTAATGGGTGTCCTCACCAGCAGCATCACTTCTCCAAGGACCAGCTCAGTCTTTGTGACCTCTAAAACAAAGCCTTTCCCACTTTCAGCATCTGGAAATAACGCCTTCCTTTTCTGAACCCTTGTAGAACACTGACTTTACTCTCTCTGGAATTGCAGTTGCGTGTGTACAACATATCTTCCTCCCTAGGCTGTCAGATCCTTAGCTGCAGGGCCCCGAGTGGTATATTGTATTCATTGCTGCAGCTCCGTAGTTCCCAGGTGCTCAGTGATGTTGAAGGAATGGGCCTCTAAAGAGATACGCTTAGGATTCAAAGCATCACCTTCAAGGAGCATTACCTTTGCCACTAATACAACTTCTCTACACCTCTTTTTGCCCATCTGTCAAGAACAGAGAAGAGCCCATATTTAGCTCTTTGGGTTATTAGAAAGAAGGAAAAGAAATCCCCACAGAAGTCCCCAAGTACAAGATCTCAGGCCCAGAAGCTCCTGTAGGTGGGGAAAGGACACTTACGAGATTCCATCGGTCCCCTCCTGGCAGCAGGAGCCTGGGGTGGAGGAGTTGCTGCACCCTCTCCGGGGACTGGTAGGGTATTCTTTGAGCTGCACCGTCCAGAGACTGTCTGCTGGCGGAGGCGCTCCCAGGCCCAGGCAGGTAGACACCTCGCTCTTCAGCTCCAAGCACTGGGTGTGCGAGGGGTTGTGAGCAGCCATGGCTCTGGCAGAGGCTTTGAGCAAGAGCAGCCTTGCCCTGCAGGAGCTGCTCAACTACAGCTCTCAGCTTTTGAGCCTTAGTGAGTTCAGCAGCTTTAATACGGCTTCACCCCCCTTACCCAGAGTGGCACAGACTCTGCTCCTTGGGAAGAATAATGGCTAGAGCATGAATGAATGGGTAAACCGGCTTCTCCTCCTCCTCCCACACGCAGGCTACTCACAGTGGCTCTAACAGTCCGTTCTTTCCCTTCTTCCTTCCTGCCAAAGTACTGATGGAGAGCTCACGTGCCAAGCACCTTGCTGGGTGCTGGGAACCCAGCGCTTCCAGGCAGTGCAGTCCCTGGCTGTGATGACTTAGTTGGAAATCATGAATATTAATCATAGTTTCCCATAAATAAATTTTAAAAATTTCAACTGAGATAAGCAGGAGGTCAGCAAAGCTTTTCCCGAGGGAAGGGAAAAATGCCTTGCATCTTCTCAATGGCCTCTTTACTTTCCTGCTCCCCCTACAATGTGGCTCCCCCTGAGGTCAACGTCACCCTGCAGGCTTCTAAGAGAGGGCTCTGTTTCCCTCACCTGCCTCATGTCACAGGGCCAGGAGGGGAGAGCATGTTGTTCCTTGTTGCTTTTGTGTCATTATTCCTCCCTTCTAAGACCGCTGGCTCCTTTGAAACACCTGCCAGCAGACCTCACCTCTCCTTGCTGCAGCACACATGGCCTCCGGGCCAGGCCTCTCCTCCTGCAGATACCGTAACACCTAGCGCTCTTGCCTGTGCGCACGCTTGCTCTTCCCCTTTATTTTACTATGACCATAAATGAATCATCTGTGCTCCAGCCTCTTATGACCTTGACCACCTTGCTTCTGACTAGTTTGTCCTCTCCCCACCTCAGACACCCACTCCCGCCATCAAACCCTAGATCTTGTCACTACCAAAACCCACACCACCCTCCAAACCTCTATGTAAGTTTTCTATCCTCTGGGTGGCTCCCCAACTCCTGTCGTCCCAGCTCGCATGTGCTAGTTTGACGACTGTGTTACAGTCCAACCAGGCTCATTACCCGCTGCTCGAGAGGAAGCCAGAACACCCAGACAGCAGGGGTTACAGCAGAGAAAGCAGTTTAATATCGCAGGCACTGTGTGAGGACATGGGAAGAATTTCTCAAATCCGTCTCCCCAAGAATTGGGGAGAAAGGATTTTTAAAGATAGGTTGGCAGGCAAAGGGCTAGGGACTTGGGTCCTGATGGGCAGGGGATGAAATCATAGGATCGGGAAGCAGAGAGTATCTTCTCAGTTGGGAGATTTCCTGGGTGGGGGGTCTCAAGGCTGTTGGGTCTGTTCCCACACTTATCCACGGGTCTGGTTGACATCAGTGGGTTCCCCCCCCCAAGAATGTAGAGTCTGAAAAATACTTCAAAGACCAGTCTTAGGCTTTATAATAGTGATGTTATCTAGAGAAGCACAAGTCTTGGGGTTTACTGTAACCATGTTATCTACAGAAGTAGTGGGGACAGTCACAAATCTTGCACCTATCAGGGAAGGTAGTGCCATTAAGCAGGAACCAGTTATAGCAGTAAGGAAGTTAGGGAACAATGGCTGGTTAACTCCTGGCTATATCCATACTTTCATAAAAATCAGACTCTGATAGCTATTTATACACTATTTTAATATAGATGGTTTCAGCTCTAATAATTCTTTGATCTCATCAGAGCTTCTGGTCTCCTGATGCTACTCAGCTACCTATTTACTGCTCTCTGCCCCTCATAGCCTGATTCCCCTTTTTACCTGCGATCAGCCTATCATTGCAGCCATCCCTGCCACAGACTTTCATCCCTCTTGTCCCTCTCCTTGCTTTGACTGCACCTTACAAAGCCACCGAACTGATTAGAGCCACCTTTCCATCTACTTCAAGCCTATACCCAAGCAGCTGGATGTGGCCAGAGAAAATCAGCTGGTGACACTTTAAATTTATGAGCACAAACACCAGCTGGGTCCTGGCACTGCTGGGAAAATGCACCCCTTGACTTATGTGCATTATTCTTGCATTCTGCAAGAGGCCTCTTCTCCAGCTCTCTCTCGAGTCAAACCTCCTTTGCTCTCAGCTTTTCACTCTCAGTTGATGACCTTATTTCTTATCTCGCTGAGAAAATACAAATGATCAGAAGAGAGCTTTCTTATCCTCCAGCCACTGAAGCTGTCCACCGACCTATGTCGGAATGCACGTACTCACCTTCCAAAATCTCAACCCTCCTCGTCCTTCCTAAGTCCCTCTATCTCATCCTCTTTCACTCACCCGCTCAAGAGCTCTGCTTCTGTGCTTATCCTTCCCTCCTTTACATCATCAAAACTTCTCTTTCTATTTTGTCATTCCCATGAACACATTAACATACCACAGTATCTTTAATCTCTCATCTCTCTGCTCCCGTTTATGGCAAAACTCCTCAAAAGAGTTCTGTATACTCACCCTCTCCAATTTCTCACTTTCCATTCTCCTGAGTCCACTTCAGCAGACATTCGTCCCATTGAAACTGCTCTTGCCAAGGCCAACAATGCCTCCTGCTGCCAATTGCATGGCTAATCTTTAGTCCTCTTCTTACTTGTCTTATCAGGAGTAGAAATTTCAGTCCTTTTCTACACTTACGATTTTCACCACTATGGTACACAGACCGGAAGGTGCCACCTTTCTTGTTCAGGTATTCATGCTCTTGAATAGCCCCTCCTTTGAGTGTGGCTGGGACTGTGGCTGGATTCTGACCAGTAGAAAGTGGCAAAGGTGATAGGACAACACTTTTGTGATTATATCATGTTATGTAAGCTTTTGTCTTACTACCAGACTCTCTAGAGACTTCTTTGCTAGCTGGCTTTGAGGCAGTAAGTGGTCCTATTGGGAGGCCCACATGGCCAGGAGCTGAGGGCAGCCTCAAGTTCATAGCCAGCAAGACGCTGGGGCCCGCAGTCCTCCAATGGCAAGGAAATTAATTCTACTGACAGTCTGAAGGAGCTTAGGGGAGGATTCTTTTCCAGTTGTGCCTTCAGATGGGAATGCAGCCTAGTCAACATCGTGAGTGCAGCCTTGTCAGACCCTGTGCAGAGAACCCGGTTAAGCCATGCCTGGACTCCCGACCCAAGAAACTGTGAGATAACAAATGTGTTGTTTTAAACCACTAAGTTTGTAGAAATTTATTACACAACTATAGAAAACTAATATAACCACTCATCTTTCTTTTTTTTTTTTTGAGACAGAGTCTCACTGTGTTGCCGGGGCTAGAGTGCCGTGGCGTCATCCTAGCTCACAGCAACCTCAAACTCCTGGGCTCA